GAATCAGCGCTGTTGGTCGCCCAGTGGTATTGCAGATCAAAAAGGTCCGTGATTTGTTAATGCTCTGCGACTTTCGCAACATCATTTCTCTATTTTGCAACGTGCGCGTGCTTAAGAAGCCATTTGGGCCCTTCATGTTCCACTTCTCCACTAGCAGGACATCGAACGTTAATTTACCTGCATGGACCGACAAGTTTCTCGTGCCAATGCTGTCTAGTAGATGTGAAATTGTCATTACATTAATTGGCGTCACAAATACTGGAAGAATGCGGTTCTTAGGACAAGCAATCGTTGTCATGGAGGTCGGATGGGAACATAACAGAAAATCTACTGCCCCATTGGCAAAGTGGAAATTTCCAGTGGATGAATCGATAATGGGGCTGCATCGCTTTGTGCAGGGGATCGTTGAGCTTGAGATCACGCCGGTTAGGTCTCAAATGCCGTGCAGGTCAGGCCAATTTCTCATGGTACCGCCCGTTTCTACAAGAGGAAGACGGTCGCTGTCGTTTTGGTCCAAACAAGGGCCAATCAAAGGGTTTGTAGCTTCTCCGGCACTGCGGACGCCAAAGAAGCCGGCGAGCTCTTCACCTTTAAAAAAAAAGATGGTGATTCGATGGGGCATGCTGTCGGATACGACATTTTTCTTGTTTGACAATACAACGGCTAGGCTACTTGTTAGTCTGGATTTAGTAACTTTGCAGTTGATTAAGTCCGGCGTGCAGCTTGATGGCAATCAAAGTCAGCAGTTTCCAGTGAAGTTGTATGCCAATGGTACAATGTACGTGTTGTATGTGTCAAGTTACTCGCAACAGCAATCGTGGGAGTATAGAATCAATTTGTACCGCCGAGAACTACTGCAACTCAAATGATTATGACGTACGGGTTGTGAATTTAAAAACTAATATTTTACTTCAATTTTTTGTATACTTAAGACTTGAATCAGGCGCGAAATTTGGTTGGCATCAGAATACAAACTTCCTCAGCTAAGAAAGATTTCCTCAGAAGTTAGAGAACAGACCTTTGTATGATTGATATCAACCGTGGAACACTGTTCCGTATTGTTATATATTAACTTAATTACTGCGTAATTTGTTGCAGCCGTAGTTTGGTGTACCCCATCCTTGTTGTGCTGATTTGGCATTGAGTGTGTGCCCGAAAATTACCATATATTATCAAAATCGAGCCACGTGTGATAGCTGTCCTCTTCGTAAGAAACTTCCTTTGTGATAAAAGTCACCCACTCATGCTAATCCCATGCCGACGTAATAATATCCATTACTGACACTCTGTTCTCTTGGCTTTAAACTGGGTACCGACGCAGCTTGTGTTGACAACGCAATATGGAGCGAGGGAAGCATAGAAGGGAGCGACAAAGTATAGCGAGGTCGAGAAAAACTCATTGGGGATTGCGCCACCGAAAGATGCGCTTTCCAACTCGGGACGGTCGCTGCTGATGGTATGTTACTGAGTGTCATAGAGGAAGTAGCGGAACTCATGCCGACGTCGCGCTCAATCTCGTGAAATATTACCTCTGTGCTATACAAAATCTGTAGTAGCTTTGGGGAGCTGGAGAACGGCATTAAATTCACCTTTCGCCGCATGTACTTATACCGCGTATTGTATTCTGTCATTTTATCGTGCTTTTTAAGGATCTAATCAAAATGTCAGCGTCCTCCAAACTACAAAATCATATTTTACATCGTGGTCTTACCTTAGAAAATCCCTGAAAATTCATCACAGCAAAATTTTCAAGGCGGATGCAATCGCGATAGAAATGCACAAAGGCAAGCAACAGTCGTAGCAGTTCCGACATCTCGTTCTTATCTCGTTTCTATGTTAATGGTGAAACTAGTCGGCACACACTTTTTAGCAATCAACAAGGTTCGCAATTCAAACCTTGAGGCTCTTGCGCACAGAACGTAGCTGATGAAATCGAGACGAGCAACGTTTCTCTTCTGCCACATAAAACAGCGAAATCTTCTTCAGCTCGGCCTGCAAGTCACGGAAGAATGCCACCTCGAGTTTGGATTCCGCTACAGCATTTCGTCAGTATCTGCAGCTGTAGTATCAGACTAAGATTGTAGCTACTTCATACGTACAAATATCTCGCTGATTGGTAGCGTGGTGCGCCGCGCAAGTCACGGCCTTGATGTGCACTTTAAGACGCTTGTAGTTCAGCCAGAATGGAGCCCACTCTGTATTGCTCTGCATACTTTCCTGCAGCAATCTCTTGCCGAACTTCATGGCGCTGGTGCAACAATCTGTCGTTTCTGCTGCTGAGATATTGAAAAATGATGTTCATCGAACTAAAGCCTGAAACGCTAAAAAGCTTTTGTCCGAAAGATTCACGTAAATTCGGATTGTCGTCACGTTGAGGCCGATTAAACCACAATGTGTCTTTTAATAATCTTGACGACTTATTTTGTAGGTATGCATAAAACTGTCATCATGTGGAGATTCTATTAAAGTGTGCGCGATACTGAATACAAGTATTACCAACACAACCGGATTTCAATTCCAGATTCAAGTTTACAACTTACTACAGTGTTCAAAGCAGCCGCTCGCATCTGTAATGATGTTTACAGCATGTCTTGTGCGACAATGTGATATTACTCTCGAGGGATTGCAAACTCTGCAATGGTATCAGATTGACGGGAGTGCAATCCACTTCTGTCGTAATCGATGGCTTGGCCCTTCCCTTTTGTGCCCACTCATTTGATCAGTAGGTAATTAGTGTTGGGTATCTATTCCGCTGATGTCAATATCGACCGTCAACAGTGTCTGTCCATTGGACGACCAATAATAACCGAGTTTGCCTTTTGTAATGATTGGGATGTGCACGATCCTTGAAGCATGCGCGAAGATTCTTGGCTGCAAATGTCACTATCACATCATTGTCCGACTAAAACTGTGTGTTGATGTAAACAAGGACTCAAAGTGAATTAGTCAAAGCCCTGCTGGCAAAACAAAAGCTCATCGAGGTTATATTCAAAGGCCATTGAGGTGAGGCGGCATTATAGTAAGTATATGCAGACATCACCACAAAAGAGCCAAGATAAGTCATCAATCACGTCCATCAACATTTACGCAACCAATCATGCAACCGAATCGCTTGATGATCAAAACGTGACTTCGTGAAATTCTCAAGGAGGTAGAATAAGTGAATACGTGCGCGACAACAAGCTTGACTTGTATCGATCTTGCTAGCATCGGTACGCAATGCTTGTGAAGCGCCAACTTGCAAATGATGTCGAGCATCTCATCAGAAGTCTTCAGTCTCAAGGAACAGAACAGTTTGATTCAAAAAATCTGACTAAGGTTTTGAAGGATGCGGCGATAGACTTATTTGATATTTTGCATTTTGATGTGAAGAATAATTTCAATCTAAAGAGTAAGTGAGACCTGAAATTCTCGATTGATAGTGATCAACTAAACTTTTACATTCCATTCGTATCTGGACTGGCTTACATCGGTCAATACTTAGCCGTTCTATTGCCTATCATGGAGTTGCAAATTTGGAGTCTAAGAAGGTGGCTCTTAGGTAGAAATTTGGAAGCTCGAGGTATTACCTCCCGTCTTCCAGCTAGTACAGCTTTTGCTGTTATGGTTTGTTACTCCATCCTTCGTAAATACATAGCTATTCTGTTAGACAGGGGAGCAACTAGTCTTGAGATGAGCTTTTGAGAACTGATTGAATGTATTGCTGTGGTTCTGCCTACTCCTGCTCTCAACACAGCATCATATGCACGTGACTCTTCGCCATGAAACTCCTGGGCCACTCCGCGCGGGCCACCCTGCCCAACGGACACTTCAACCGCTGTCCGGATACGGTTTCCAACACGCCCCCTCTCGAAGTCCACACTTCGAACTCAGGCCATCGTAGTGATGCCCATCAGCGCGCCGAGTGACTCGAGACGCGTCTTGTCTAGCGGCTTCGTGAAAGCATCAGCTGGATTCTCTTCTCCACGGACCTTGACCAGCGCGA